AAAACACGTGTTCTAGGCACTGCCGTTTGTCTGTGCCTAAGACGGCTTGTTTGGTTTCAACTTGGGCGAATGATCCATATCATCAAAACATGCTGTGATCTAGGCACTGCCGCCTGTCTGTGCCTAAAACGGCTTCTTTGATATATAAACCAAATCACCGTGCTTGGTAACGCCATCCATTAGCTTCCATTAGCTGCGAGAAAGTTTTCCTCCGACTATCAGTCCCACGGGTGCTTCCCAATGGTCCCCCGCCCAGCAAGTTGCCATTTTCAGGTCCTTAGACTTTTTAGTTTTTCATGGCACCCCTTCTGGTATATATTCAGACGCATATCCCAACATGTCTTCGGCCATATATTCTGCCATATTCTAAAATTGTCTCTGAAAGATCATTCTGACATCGTCTTACCTTTGTCCCATCATCTCCCCTGCACAAGGCATATCCTGAATTTGACATGGGATGCCTCTTAAGTGGGATGCGAACTAAGTTGCTTTAGCGGGGGTCAGTTGACATCAGACAAATTGTCTACCAAGATTCTATGCCCAAGCCGTCATCAAACAAATCCCGGCTTGAAATCTTGACAAGAAGCAGCGGCACAGAGGAGGACTTCACCGTGTTGGGGACAGTGGCATCGGGGAAGATACGGGTCTTGTCAGACCGGAGAATGCGAGGCAACTTTCCGGGCGGGGGAACGTCAACCATGTGCAAATCATTGGTGTTGCACTCCTCATTCGACGTGAAGTCATCCTCCCAGGCTTTCACAGCCAACCTCACGCGTGGGACTGATAGTCGGAGGAAGGCCGTTTCACAACGGACAGAGCCAGCAAACACCTTTCGATTCCTCTTCCCTGGCGCACTCTTTGTGGAGCGGTAGAGCACAATCCAATCAAACAGCCCGCCGCCGCCCGGGACCTTGTCGCCAAACGTCTGCTCTCGATCAATTGGCGGTTCGAGCGCGACCCACCATCAAAGAGCAAGAGCATCGAGGTCTCCTTGCACTGCACTGTGCTTTCATGAAGTCAAAGGCTGGCTGCAACGATGCTCTGTCCAAGGCAGGCACCTTTGACCATTGGTCAGGTCCTTCGAGCTACAAGTCACTGGAAAAGACGAAGGCTTGGTGGCTGTCGTTCAGAACTCCTTCAAAATTTTTGGCCGGGCTCTTTGCAAACAAAGTAGCCAGCGAATCCATTGTGCGGCCTTGCCAGAGGCCCAACTGCACGTACTTCTTCCCAAGCGTCTGCGCCTCCCGCCACAAGTGGCTTCGCTCTGCTTCCCTTGCAGTCTTCTGCTCATCCTCTTGCTCGTCATCCCCTTTCACAAGATCCCTCAAGCTGACAGGCGGTGCTGACGTGGCTTCGCACGAAACATGGGAAATTGCAAGGGCCTCAGCCGCTGAAGATGCTGAATAAATTTCAAAAGGGGCTGCGCATTTAAATGCTGAGGATGTTGAGTGATTTGGAAGGGGCTGCAAAAGCAAGAAACAACTCTGGTGGAATGGCTCCTGCTGCATGTGTTTGTAATAACGTGGTTTCAGAACTATAAGATTCCATGATGTCTCGCCAGTTCTGGCGTCTTGTATGAAAAATTGAATCAGTATTTTGGACTTGAGGATCTGGCAGCGGTGCATGAGCGCATGCTCTTCGCCAGCTTGGTGGTCACATCCGGCTTCAAGAGGTGGGAACATGGGTTGGACACCTTGGCGGCTTCCACGAAATCATAAACTCCACTGCCTTCACACCACTTGCATCCAGCCCGTCTGTCACCCCACAAAGTGGATCCCTTTCCTCAAGCACATCTTCTGCTGCGTTGCTGCAGCCAGCATCCACCTCTTTGGGCACAGCGTAATGGAAAGCCAAAGGTGTGCCGAGCTTCTTCAAAGCGTCTGAAGTCTTTCTGGCTTCGTCTTTCAAGCTTCCCACAGGGGCTTGTTGCCAAGAAGCTTCAGCGAGCTGAACCACCTGGTGCGCAACTGCAACCTTAGCAAAGGTCCCGCAAGCCCAGCCCACCTCGTCACCGCGCGGGTCTATGGTTTCCACGTTGAAGAAGTCCGGGCTGCATTGGTTGCGGGCCAATGCCACATAGGCTGCCCCCAAGGTGAACTCAAGCAATGTTTCAGCGCCGCCTCCAGCACCAACATTCTCCAAAGTAGCCACTTGCTTCTGACATCGCGTGCACAAGCGGGCCAATTTGGAATAATTGTTGGAGAAAACATCTCGGCCATGTTCTCGCTGGATGCGAGACAGGATCTTAGAAGATGCATCGCTCAGCATGCCTGCCACCTTCAAGGCCCCATCAAGAACAGTCTTGTTGATCTTGGTGCCGTTGAAACGCACATTCTTGGAAATCAAGCTCTGGAGAAGATCCTTCTTGGTTGTTGCGGCCTGCTGGCGCTCAATGTTGGACCTTCTTTGCGAACATCAAAAAGGTGTCCGAATTGCTTCCCTGTCGAGACTTGTCGTTGACCGTGAGGATCTCCAGGGTCACGCTGATGCTATCGGTCGTGGCCAATGCCCTGACAGTGACAGTCAAGGCCATCTCATGAAGCTTCTTGATCTGCTCCAAATCCGTGTCCAGGCATGCCCTGCACATAGCAACGTACCAGGCATAGAGCTGTGTGTGCTTGTGCAGCAGAGACAGCTTGGTTGGTAGCTCACCCGTGTTCAACACATGCTTGGGAGCAAAGCACCCAAAAGCGCCAGGAAAGAAGAAGCGATCTCCGGCCCCATGGCTGCAGCAAAGAATCTGCTCGGCCTCAAGGACTTCTGCATAGGGCGGCTCTTCAAGCAGCAATGTGTCGTTGGAGCTCAAGCCCGGGTCCAGCCAGTACAGCGAACGGCCGGCTTCGTAGAGGCCACTATGTTGGATAGCCTGCAGGCAATTTGCCGGGCTCCACTTCTCCTTGAAGTTCTTGAGGCCCTGGGACTGCGATGATTGGATCTCCAGCGGTGCTAGGTCTGCCAAAGATGCAGCTGATGGCAAGGCAGCTTTCGAAAGGAAAGTCGGCAAGGATTGAAGCACCTCAGAGAATCACAAATGGCGCAGGGGGAAGCTCTCTGAAAGAAGTCTAGAAGATCTTGCAGGGGCTAATGCTCGAAACTCAGGATGGCAAACCACAGAACATGGCAGAGGAGATCAGAGGAGTTCAATTAAATCTAGCTTGATTAATCAAAACCGACAGCAGTTAAATGGCATCATTCTGAATTTAGGAGTGGCTCCAGCAAACATATTTTTTGCTGCCAAGTGGCCCAAGGAATGACACGCTTCATGATAGTCCAAGCGCCCAAGTGACGCCCTTCTTCTAGATCTGGAAGTTTAGGGGCTTGCAGCACCGGTGGCATGCCAGCTGTCTGCGGTGATGCTGCAACCACTTTGCTCACTGGCACGATGTTCTCCGGAGGCTGCTGGTCACGAGGCTTCAAAGCCTTGACGGTTTCTGCCGCAAACTTCGCAGCTTCTGCTGTCGTCAACTTCTTGGCTGCACTGCCACACTCGATTTCAGCTTCTGCAGGCCGTTTGGTGGCAGGAGCCTTCGAGGTCTGCTGAATGCAATACGGGTCTGATCTCGCATGCGGCAGCGGCCGTATTCGCGAGCAAATCTTGTGATCTCTTACCATGCCTCCTTTGTAGCATAAAGGGCAGGTAAAAAACACAAGGCAATGCTTCTCAAGATTGCCCTCGGGGTTGCGTGCGCGACCCTGACCGTAATATCTCAGAGGTTCGTATCATTGAATACCATGGGGCAATCCACATGATCTGATAGTAAGTGAGCGGAACTTGTGCTTGTGCTCACATAAGTTGTGCTCACATACCCCACCGGGCCTGCGATGGAAAATCATGGAGACATCCAAACCTGGCAATGGCAGCTGGCTCATGACGGTCGTGACAGTGCTCATTTTGATACAAGCCATGCTTCTAATAGCAAAGACTTGAGAGTAGGAGAAAATTGCTTTACTTCGAGTGATCCCCACCATGACATTTATACATTTTGTTACTGGCAAATCTTCTGGCATTCTATCTGGCATATCTTCTGTTTTTTTCTGGCACATCTTCTGGCATATCTTCTGGCATTCTACCTGGCATATCTTCTGCAATATGTTCTGGCATATCTTCTGGCACTCTATCTGGCATATCTTCTGACATTGTATCTGGCATTCTATCTGGCAAATCTTCTGGCATATGTTCTGGCAAACATTCTGGCACTTTATCCGGCATTCTATCTGGCATACCTACTGGCATTCTATCTGGCATACCTTCTGGCATTCTATCTGGCATACCTTGTGGCATTTTATCTGGCATATCTTCTGGCATTCTATCTGGCATATCTTCTGGCATTCTACCTGGCATATGTTCTGGCATACCTTCTGGCACTCTATCTGGCATATCTTCTGGCATATCTTCTGACATTCTATCTGGCAAATCTTCTGGCGTTCTATCTGGCAAACATTCTGGCACTTTATCTGGCATACCTTCTGGCATTGTATCTGACATTCTGGCATACCTTCTGGCATTCTATCTGGCAAATCTTCTGGCATTCTATCTGGCAAACATTCTGGCACTTTATTTGCTATATCTTCCGGCATTCTTTCTGACATTCTATCTGGCGTTCTATCTGGCATATCTTCTGGCATTCTATCTGGCCGTTGAGGTCCAGCGGTGCTCACTGAGCTCGGAGGGTCCCAGGTTGAGGTCCAGTGGTGCTCACTGAGCTCGGAGGGTCGCAGGTTGAGGTCCAGCGGTGCTCACTGAGCTCGGAGGGTCCCAGGTTGAGGTCCAGTGGTGCTCACTGAGCTCGGAAGGTCCCAGGTTGAGGTCCAGCGGTGCCCAGTGCGCTCAGACCCTTGCAGTTGAGGTCCTGCGGAAGTTGGGGAAGAGCTTGGCGAAGAGTTGGCAAGGCGGAAGTGAACATGGAAGTGGAGGCAGAGGTGGTGGAGGAGAACGAGGAGGAGAAGAAGGAGGAGGAGGAGAAGGAGGAGGAGGAGAAGAAGAACAACTCTGATAAAATCTAACAACCCTCACCTTGCAGGTGGGGAATAAAGCACAATATGTGGCATCCGATACAAAAAGAACATTCAAGCCACAGCTGCTTCGCGTGAGCCCAGACAATAAAAGCAAGTATTCTTGGGCAGCGTACCCTGCACCTCTTGCACGAGTCATACAATTCAACGCTTTGCTTCTTCTCGCGATATAGGCTGGCAGGCTGGGCTTCTTGAACGCAATGATCAGCCAAGGCAAATGTCGCCCAAGACACATGGAGAGGACACTTGTATAGATTGTCCATATCGCGTGGAACCCACACGGAGGACATGCCGGGGACATGCTGCAGCGTTGCTGCAACATCCAAGCACGACACCTTGATCGTCAGGATGTGGCTCTTCTCCTCCGCCTTCTTCTCGTCCAAAATTGACTGGAGCAAGGCGCAGCCGTACTTGTCTTCAAAGAACGGAATGGCGTAAACGCCGGCCAAAATGTGAGCAACTTTATGCCCAGCTTGCCTGTCATGGTGAAACATGCCTAGCAGGCCTAGCAGAAATAAACTGTTTGGTGATTGAGTAATTATATCTTTCCTGGTGCCTACAACAGGCCAAATAAGCAATTGATTCTGATGCCAGGCACTTGCGCACCAAGTTCCCCATGTTCCGGTGTTGGAAGGATTCCAAGATGTAGCCACGGGCCTCAGTAGGGTCCGCAAGGATCCTAGCTGCCGTGTCGGCACTGATTCCAACATAGAATGACCAAGCTGGAGCCTCGGGCATCCTGGCGAGCACGAAGCTGGTGAGGACCTTTTCACTCACACAGAAACATAGAGTTTGGTCCTGGATGCAGTGGACGCATGCCACTTCGGGCTGAGAAGGTCCCAGGTCTGAATCTCAAAGCCGCTTCCGGCTTGCTTCTTCACATATCCAGACTTCAAATCGAGATGGAACTCGGCCTCTGGGATCTCCAGCTTGAAAATCACCCAGACGCGGCCGGCAGCCATGAGCGCTTTGCAATCCTCTGTGGGTGGAAGCTTCTTGCGGATATGTTCGGGGTCACTCAATGATGTCCCCAAAGCCCGTGCTGATTGGCGCAATGCATGCTTGATGGCTGCAACTGGAGTTTGATGGGTCAAAAGGGCCTTTGCTGGTGCCACCTGGCAGGGTTCCAACCCTGTTTGCAGGACTTCTTTGACATGATCCCCAATGATATTCATTTTGACTATTGTTTTTTATCTCCTGCCAGCTGCAGAAAAAGAAAACGCCAAGCCAAAAAACAATCAACATAATCAACATCGGCCGGCCTTGCCCGGATTGCTAACGTTTTTCTCGAAATGTTCTTCCGGCAGTGCCACCAAGCCCAAAGACACCATGGCCATGGCTTCAAGAGAGAATGCGGTAACAGGGCCTTGAGAACTGGAAAAAAACTTTCACTTAGACCCTCGCGCCAGGCAAACCCGCATGGGAGATCCCCCTGGTGCTTTAGGGGTAGAAACACGAATAAAGAGCGCATCAGTGCAGGCCAGAATGAGACTTCACTGTGGCCCATGTATCGAAACCTACGCAGGTACATGCACATTCCGGCCTTTGCTGCTACCACAAAGTAACACTGCATTAAAAGAATCTTGACTTTGTCTTAAGGATTGCTTCAGCACATGCAATCTCCTCCAAATGATGATTTCGATATAACCTGAAAACCAAAGAGTCACCAGAACCATGGCGAGTACAATGCCCATGTCCGCACCAGAGACCCTGCGACAGAATGGCAACGGGTCTCCTGCTGTGATGTCTCAATAGTCAAAGACTCGCCCAGATCGATGCCACTAAAGCTGGCCTATTGATGGGCTGTGTCTTTGCTGCTGTCTGTCAACTCTTGCTTCCAAGAAAGAGGAAACAAAGTCTGTCTGACGTTCCACAATAGTGAAAATGACTGAAGAGGCGTGCAAATGACGGCAATTGGTGTGGTTGAAACTAGAATGGCAGTGGCATGTCTTTTTTATCTTCGCCATGTCAAAAATCCGAACTGGCCGCTGGCCATGGCTTGTAGACGTGCCTCCCTAGTTTGCCAGCACTATAGATGGTTCAAGGGCCATTTTGCTGTTCAGGGCAACCTATTGTGAAAAAAGGTCCAAATCTCCTGGTATCCCTCTATGGCGTTGCAGACTACAAACGTTGGTGTTAGTCGCCTTGGTGACTAACTATGGCATTCTTCATCAATCTGGGAAATGTGTCAATTTGCACCAGGACCAGCGGAGCTCCGTCTCCGTAGCCGCATCATTTGTGGCCACGATGCGTGCGCCGCCAAAGTCCTCAGAAAGCAATTGCTTGATGGTGCAAATATGCCTGGGTTGATTCGTCAACGATATCTACTGTATCTACCTACCTACCTATTTATCTTTTTATCTATCCTTCTACCCATCTATCTAGCCATTTTCTAATTCATATATCTATCCATCCATCTATCCATCTCTGTACTTTTCGTCCCAGTTGATCACAGCGTGCAGACACTCCAAAATACCCAATGCTTCGCATCTCAAGATCTAGGCACTGCTGTCTGTCTGTGCCGAAGAAAGCTCGTGACAACAAAACTTGGGGGAATTATCCATGAATACCACCAAAACATGTGCTCTAGGCACTGCCGTCTGTCTGTGCCTAAGAAAATGTCTTTCGACAAAACTTGGGGAAGTACGAGCGTGACCTTTCGTACCCCCCCTAACATTAAGTCACCCCCCCCGCATGGCACACAGTCATCCAAGAGTCACCCCAGGCTTCCAATAAGTCACCCCATGGCATGCAAATCATACTGGCACACCGGCCCCCACCAAAATTGAACATTACTTTCCGGAGATCTGGCATCATCGTGTGCCAGTGCGTTTTGCTTATCCCAAGCCATCCCAAAGCCTCAAAAAATGAAATCGGAACTATTCTCGCACTTGGCACACCGATTTTTAGGTTTCAGAGCTGATGCACATTTCCACGCTATTCCTACTGGTAGGCTGGCAGCATGTTTCAAGAAACATCTCAAAGCGTGCAAATCATACTGGCACACCGGTCCTCACCAAAAACAGCCTGGCTTCTTCAAACCATATTGACCATATTTCGATTCGGGGAATTGAAAGGAGAAAAAATCGAAACCAAAAACGAGACCCCTGGAGGCCCAAACGAGACCAAAAGAGGTTCAAACCCACGCAAGGGACCAGGTAGTAAGCCCCAACAAGCAAAACCAATAATTCGTGGGATCCTGCCTGGGGGGCTGGGCTGCTGAGCCTTCTCAACTGCTACTGCGCCTACTGCTGTAAAACAATGATCTTTCTACCTGAAAAGAAAAGCTTTACCATCACAATTCATCACAAGTATCACGTGTACTGTGCAAACAGCTCCTTGCTGAGTTCTCTCCCACAGCATCAGCAGGAGCTAGCAAGGGTGCTTCGTCAGCGTTGTTGCGATTGGCCATCCTTTGTTTCATCCTATCGTTCTGTTTACTGGTACACAGCGCGGATAGATGCCGCATCAGTTCAGCTGGAAATGCCCTTCTGTAACAAATCGCAGCTGTACAAGGTGATAAGGGAAACAAGGGGGCACTGCACTTTACAGAGTCTAGAAACGCGTGCGCCAATACGATTTGTGTTGGAATGCTTTCTTCCTTGCCAAAGCCTTACTCTGAGAGACGAGGGTTGTTGACCTACTTCTGCACGGGACACCGTGTGTGGGACGACTTTCCGTGTGAGGAGAAACAAAAGGTCCACTACCCAGTATCCATGATTACCCCCCAAACATGTGATCTAGGCACCGCCGTCTGTCTGTGCCAAAGACAGCTGGTCTCAACAAAACTTGGATGAAATATCCATGAGTACCGCCCAAACATGTGATCTAGGCACTGCCGTCTGCCTGTGCCTAAGAATGCTTGTTTCAACAAGACTTGGGGGAATTATCCATGTTTACCCTCCAAACATGTGATCTAGGCACTGCTGTCTGCCTGTGCCTAAGAAAGCTTGTTTCAACAAGACTTGAGGAATTATCCATGATTACCCCCCAAACATGTGATCTAGGCACTGCCGTCTGTCTGTGCCTAAGAAAGCTTGTTTCAACAAAACTCTGGGGAATTATCCATGATTACCCCCCAAAACATGTGATCTAGGCACTGCCGTCTGCCTGTGCCCAAGAAAGCTTGTTTCAACAAAACTCGGGTGAAATATCCATGAATACCCCCCAAACATGTGATCTAGGCACTGCCGTCTGTCTGTGCCTAAGAAAGCTTGTTTCAACCAAACTTGGGTGAAGTATCCATAATCACCCTCCAAACATGTGATCTAGGCACTGCCGTCTGTCTGTGCCTAAGGACGCTTGTTTCAACAAAAACTTGGGTGAAATATCTTTATTTCCTCCCAAACATGTGATCTAGGCACTGCCATCTGTCTGTGCCTAAGAAAGCTTGTTTCAACAAAACTTGGGCGAATTATCCATGATTGCAAGCAACCTGGGTAAGATTCCTGCCCTCTCAACAAGCTAGGCAAATGAGGCGTCTGAGTGCCTACGCTTTCAAGGTTGCCAAGGCAAATGCGCAAGACAAAATGAAGGGATTCACCCTAATGTGAATTGTAAAGATATTCTCCTTCAATGCACACTGCCTTGAACATGGAGTCTCTGACTACTGGATACTGTTCATGCACCGCTGCTTATTACATTTTCGGTAGGCCAGCCGGAAAATGAAAGGTGTGTATTCTGCTACAGGTGAAAATGTTACAAAGTATGTGTTGGTCTGTTTGTGGATGGTTGCGCCGAAGGGGGAGGCAAAGACCCACTGCAAAATGAAACCGTGTTATGACCAATGCGGCTACACTGTTGGCTGCCTCAAGATTTGGGCTACCCAGCTACCAGATGTTCCATAGAAATTCTATGTCAATCAATGCATGAGGAGGGCCTGTAAAAGCAGCAAACAATACAATGTTTCTGACTCAGGAAGGTATGGATGTCAAAGCCATCTACAATTAGCATAAGGGCTGGCATTGGGTCTTTGCTGTGTACAACCCAAAGCACAACTGCATGTATACACCACAACATCCACAGAACTCCGTGAAATTTAGAAAGAAAAAACCGAAACAAAAATATAAAGCACATAGCCCCTCGACAGTGCAGTTGGCACTTTATATCCCTGGGCCAATTATTGTCTTCCCATAGGCTGTTGCATTCGTGCCAAGCAGCACGCACATGCGCCATCTGCAGAAGTTGCCTGCTAGGGCTGGCAGGCCGTGATGGCAGCAACAAATCCTTGGCCAAAGCTGCGCCAAAACCCACGAAATCGTGGGCATACGGTCGGGCACATGCGGCAGAATGTCATGTGCCAGGTTCTATCATCAAAAAACAACTTCTTCCGAATACCCTTCGCATAGCCGGGTCGAACACACACTGCTTCGAACACCCACCATTACCTACCGGCGCAACCCTATCCACGCATTCCTCCGCAAACCAAGTGGCTACAGGACCGCCAATGACAACTGCATGGGCAGTAGGATCCTCAATTGTGACACCGTTGAATCACGACATGGAAGCACTCCAAAAGACCCAATGCTTCACATCTCAAGATCTAGGCACTGCTGTCTATCTGTGGCTTCTTAATGATGTGGCCCCAAAAAAAAGAAGACAGAGAATCACAAGTCTGGGTCAAAGCAATTGAGCCACAAGAACAGATTTGGAGGCCGGGCGGGCCCCCAAATCCATAAATAATTTTCGCAGGGTCGAAAGGCCAACGCAGTATAGTGTGGTATACCCGGGCTACCAATTCAATTGCCATAATATATCCTGTAAAGTAATTAGGGCGTACATTTACCCCAGGGTAGTGTGATTTTACCTTTCTTTAGGTCATGCGTCGCGGAGGTCGGTTGGGAGCCATTGTGGGACATGAGTCCTTCAAAACCGAGAATGGAGCGCAACTCTGGCAGCGTTTTTGTTGGTGTTGTATCCCGAGATGGTGGGTTTAACGATCAAACCTGGTAAGCGGATATCAGGGGAACATAGCGGTGATGTGATGGTATTTTAGTGTGATTTAATCATCAAAAATGGATTGACCAACAAAAGTGATTGAATGGAAATCCCTTTGATTTTTCGCTCACACCTTGCCACACAGAACGGCTATGAAAAATTGTTTTTGAGTAAGATGGGAGGGACACAAATGACGTTTTGCAAGCACATTTGTTCAGCTCTGATTCGTGCAATAATCATGTCAAGGTGTGCCCAGTCTCGAGTACATTCGAATACATTGCTTGATATGTAGGCATGGGATTCAAACCTCCAAACTGCGGATTAGAAGAGCGGCGCTCTAACCATTAAGCTGAGGAAAACCTGTCATAGATTAGCAAACGTTGATGCCTACAGTCATACAAACCCGTTGTTACCCTCTTAGCATTTGATAGGTTCTTTGCAAAATAATATATACAACTAAAAAAACCTATAGAAAACTAAAACTCACTAAATTCTACTATAGAAATCTAGATTCCACTAAATTCCACAGAATATGGATATCAAATTCCTTGTGCCCCTGCTCAGTCTGAAGATCTGAACACCCCAATTGTTGGGATTTCCATCACCTCCCTGCTGTCCACTCCCAATCTGAACCCTCCTGTTGATTCAACATGTTTCAACAAACTCTTGCATTGTTGATGGACTACCCCCTGAACATCTCTCTATATTGCCAATGAAAACTCATAAGCTACACCGAATCATCAATGCAAGGTTTCTTCAGATTTCTATACGTAGGTTTTCCTGGTGGCCTTACTCCCCCTACACAACACTAAACAAATCTAAGAAAAACTAAAAAAAACTAAAAAAAGCAAAAATTTAAAAAATAAAATAAAAAAAAAACTTAAAATGTGCGTTGCCTCCTGGTGGATTTGTTTGGATATCAAAATAAGCATTCCAACCAGAACTCTGCCCAATTCACGCAGGGCCAAGGTCACTCCATCCCCAGGCAGTGATCACCAAAGTGTTTGCATGTCTCAACTTGGCCACCCTTCATGACAAACTTGCATCATATCTTAGATTTTCCTGCAGTGAAAAAATATATCTAAAATTCTCTGAAATAGGCCAAAGTCAAATGATGACCTATACAAAGGGTTTGATACAGGGTTGGAAAGAGGACTGTCCAGAAGGTGCACCCCCACGCGCGCAAATCAAGGGAGGTGCATAAACAAAACCCGACTCCTCCAAAAGAATATATACCTAAAACCCTTGCTGGTGACACTTGGGCCTCCCTTGCAGGACTTAAAAGGGGTTTAGACCTTCAAATGCAAGAAGAGAAAGCCGCACAGGCATGAGCCCACTCAAGAAACGCCGGTGACGAAATAACAGCCTTGAGGTGTGGGGCAGGGTTTCTGATTTAACGAGGCGACGTACTAAATTGAAACCATATTTAACGAGACGATTTCACCAACGAGGGAGACGAGGTAAGATCTGTTCTAAACATCCTGGATGGGATGTTAATGATATACCATCATTTGGTTATTTAACATAGCCATGGAAAATCCCTCATAAGTGGAGGGTTATAGCTGGGAAAATCATATAAATGTGCCATTTATACCATGGCTATGTTAGTTATAGATGTTAATGATATAGCTGGACGGCATGTCCAACTTGAAATGAATGAACATGGATGAACCCTTAAAATGGCAATGGAAACATGGGTTTTTCACGGTGATTAACCAATGGATGTAGGGCTACTCTGTTGGTTGATGGACTACCCCCATGATGGTTGGATAAAAAAATACTCTATATATGTATTTAAAAACATCCCCACCATGGTTGGTAATATACCCCCATGATGATTGGTATGCACTTTGAGGAGATTTCTATGTGTTGCTGTTGTGTTAAAGATCCAATCTTTCGATGACTTGGATGGTTGATCCAAGCGGTTCGGAGCCAGGGGCATCCATATTCTTTTAAAAAAAAACGAAGAGCTCAGGAGCTGAGTTTCCCAACTGTATTCTTATAGTTGTTGATTATAGTTGGCAATATATCCTGTACTGGTTGGTGGTTTGGAACATGAATTCTATGTTTCCAGATGCTGGGAATTTCATCATCCAACTGACGAAGTCATATTTTTCAGAGGGGTAGGTATGCCACCAACCAGTGTAAAATATGCCCATGAATATCCCATTCAATGAAGTTCGATCTACCAATTTCATCCGGCGGCCCTTTATGCCAGGATGATTATACCCAACCAAATCCTGGTTTAGTATTAGGTCCACTGTATATTCATTTTGGGTTCCCAATTTGCGGTATTTAAATGGTGCCATCATATGCCACTGCACCAATCCCTTAAATCCCATTTTTGGGGTAACAATCATGATACAAGCATTCAAATGGATTATGTTGTTTCTTTGATTTTGGGCTATGCAAAATGGTAACAATTTTGATAGCAGCATACATCATAACCAAAAAACAAATCGTAGGAATTTCCCATGTTTCATCGCCAAGATCCAGCAGCGCCGAGGTTTTCGTTGCTTGCAAGGCAGGTTTACGATCCCTGGGGCATGCGGGGTGTAACCCATAGCGTGGCACGCTACACCTAGTGGTAACCATAGCTAGTTTACCTATTGAAGATGTATGGGATAGGCCACTTAGTGGATTAGTTATAACTTATACATTTATGGGATAGTAATCCACTATAGTATTTTATGATTAGTTATAACCCATTTATGTAAGATAACTTATAGGCCTTTTATGTATTTTATGGGATAACCCACTGAATGGGGACCTTGGCTGGGGACTTACCAGCCAGGATTACTAACCAGGTACCAAGTGGGATGATCCTCCAAATACCCATTGGTTTGGGGTTATCACATTGTGTGTTTGACATGTTTTGGCATTGCTCATATAACATGTGATACCCTCTGGTAAACTAACATGGCTGTTGAAAATGGCCATTTGTAGTGGATTTACCCATTAAAAATGGTGATTTTCTATAGTTATGTTAGTTTACCAGAGGGTACTATGTAACAATATGGAGAGAGATACGCCACAGATTTACCAACTCTTGGCAAAGCGCTGAGGCATGTTGGGATGTCCATCCCTTTAACCACTGAATAATTCGGCGTCCATCCCAAGTCTTAGGACATTGATGATCAGCTGCTGATATTCTCGGGGAGACGGTGAACATATGAAACTCTCAGATGATTTTTTGGCTTCCCATTTGAACATGGAATAAAGTGGATGGAAATGGAATAACATGGAATATAGTGGAATAACATGGAATATAATGGAATAAAATGGAATAACATGGATGAAATCTGGCTAGTTGCTTGAAACTTGCAAATCTGTCTTTTTCGACCGCTACGTTTGATGTTTTCCCGTGCTGACTCAGTTTTTAAGGAGCCCGGGTGGCTCATCAGAAAATGAATTGTGAACATCTCACTGGGATTCAACGGGTGTTTCCGTAATCTGGGGAATCAGATATTTATTGTGTTTCAACCGTACTTAGGATGTTTGGTTGACATGATTCATATTTTTTTGGATAGATTAAAACCACCAACCAGTGATATACTCTCGGCAAATTCGATCATAAAATCAGGATGCCATCATCAAAAAATCGGGGCATCGGCAGGGATGCCCTGCTGCCGAACCCGTTCAAACCTGATTTCGACGCCTTTTTGAGCACACCAAAGGCGTGTTTGGCTGCTGGCTGGGCTGTTTTGGGATTCTCTGATGACTGGGATTACGACCAGTTAGCTCAATGGGTGCAGAGCATGAAGCTGTTTTTTCTCCATAGAATTTTCAAAGACATGGTGTAGAACATGGAAAGTGTTGTCCCCAAAAACATAAAAGTGATTCAGTGATTGTGACTTCTAGCAGATTGCTGGTGAATCTTGACCATTGGAGTTATGCCACATTTCTTGGCCATGGAAATGAACAGGATCTGGGCGCAAGATGAAAGACTCGTTGGGGATGCTACCGCTACTGTGATGATTCGGCAATAAATGTGTGGTATTCTATGGGACTTGGGATAGTTGCTCTGGGCTTTGATAGCTTTTTAATGCGTATATGATGGAACACTAGATTGGATGTGCAGAGTGTTCTCATGGCTTACCCTGTTTCCACGTATTTGAGACAGTGAATTGCTATGGTGCGGCCTCCAAATTCAAAACACTTCTTTTTCTTCACTGTGCCCGTAAAGCCCATGGCAATGATGTGTTTGGTTTTGTGACAATGGGAAAATCCAATTGGTTTGAATTATATCATTGAAGGGCATCCCAGAGAAAAACAAATAAATCAATCATTGGGAGTTTCCATAAAATGTGGGGAAGGAATTGTTTGAGAAAAAAGAATCCCCATTTTTGAGTGGTATTTGATGATTTTGGTTTCTCAAATCTGGTGGATAACATTCTATTAAATCGCCATGCGCACCCAACAATGAGTGCTGGCGCAGTGCCTGTCGATCTTCTGGCTCATGGAACTTAAAAATAAAACCACCCCTCGTGCAAGAGTGTACTGCTGCAGGGTATCAATCTGCCGAAGGGTATCCCATCCCACCTTCGTTTTGGTGAGTCGCAGGTGCGCATTCTGTCGATCAAAAAGGAGCTCTTCCAGAGAGCCCGCGTCCGGGGGCCAAAGAAGATTTGGAGGGGCGGTAAACCTTGGAAAACCCCTGGTAAAACCATCAAAATATGTCTTTTAACATGGTCCAACATAAGAGATTGACTAATTTCATGGGCATGAAAACTACCCCATCAGTTATGTAATCTGTTACTATCGAGATATACGTATTGACTAGTTATGTCTTTCGTTTTGAAAGGCATCTATTGTTTCAGGTTCCCGATGTATTTGGGCGATCAAGAATTCCCAACTGTTGGTTGCTATAGGGGAATGAACCACCAAGTATGTGTTTTAACGATTACGGGGATATAGTTGATAAATGATGGGTGGTTGGTTTTGAGAGTGGGTCATACCACCCAGTCTAAATGGGGATTTTGAACGAAGCTATAACATAGTGGAATGGACAGCGGCATGTCATCGCGCATTTGAGGACCGAAAGCTGTTTCCAATGGACCCGCCTTAACCCCTTCAATTGATCATTTTCACCAATGCCCAGTCTGATGCGGCACAGCCATGACCGTAGAACGAAATAGATCTAGCATGATCTAGCCATTGTTTGGTGGTTTGAAATATGATTTTGTTCAAACATTCTTAGAATAAACTATTGAAAATCATATTTCACTGTTGATATCTAACTATCTAACTGGTGGTTTATCTAGCCATTGTTTGGTGGTTTGTTCAGGAGGGTTGAAACCACCAGTTAGATCAGAATTCCGCATGTGTAAGCAGTTTGGCATACGGACACCAGGATCTCATTGCCTGAAGCTGGGTGCTTAGCCCACCAAAATAGGTGGATACCCTTTGATAATCCAATCTGGAAATGAACAGTCACCTGTTTCAACAGAAAAACAGTTGGAGAGAGAACAGATAATGTTCATCCGTGGGCATGTTTGATTGGTGGAGGGTCCCCAGGACATCAAGTCTTTGTGGGTTTATGAGGATTTGTCATTGAAGCTACGAGTAGTTCCCCCAACCCATTGCTCATTTCGTTTGGCAACAGATCCCAAGCAGCACGAAAGTCGGCAAGTCTACTGTTTGTTCTTTGGTTGTCACCGATCCTTTTGCCGCTGCTTGCTTGGGTACAGTAAATATGGCTTTGTCTGAAAAAATCAGGGGTGGGATGGCAAAACTTGATGGTTGGCTATTATTCCTGAAAGATTGCCATGACTATGATCCATGGTTGGACAATGACTTAAGACTACTTAGCCACGAATTGCATGATTCAATACCCGCTCACATGTTTTCATAGGTTTGTTCGCACCTTGTTTCAATTCAAGCCCACGCGGGACGTTCCTGTGCGGTCCCCCGTGCCTAGGTACATTTGAGGTTGCCTCAAAATTTGCAACACCAAAACCCGACGGCTTAGCATATGTTTTTCTCTTGAAATTCCCATAGCTAAGGGTCCCCCATTTTTCAGACAGACCCGAGTGTCATATCAAGTTGGGTAATGTTGGATATATAAATCATTATTAAATGATCCGCATTAATCCGCATTAATCTTTATATATATGTGTGTGTGTGTGTTTATATAGACATAAGTTTTATATACCCAATATGATGGTACAGTATATATCAATTACTAGTAGCTGGGTATAGCATCCCTTCTGAATTGATCCGCATTGAATCTGTCTTGTGATCAAGCCCCCACTTGAGTGGCCGCCAGGAATTGGACAAAGATCCAGCAATGTTGGAACAGGCGAAGAAGACTCAGGCAAGCAATTCAATGGGAATTTCAGGATCCTAAAATGTAGGTACTGTACCATACAAGATCATATTTTGTGCGGATATTCCCTTCCATAGGCCTGAAACATAGGCCTTATACATGGTAGGTACCTCCAATAAATTGGTTCCTGTTGCATGGCCATTGAGCAAGCAATTCTGGTGAAGATTTGCCACCGGGGCTGCAATCCGATATGGATTGAAGACGATGTTGTTTATGCCATGTCTGAATTCAACGGCTATAGATTCCCCAAATGGTGAATTGCCATTCGCTATCGAGATGGTAAATCACTATCATTGACTGGTTGGTGGTTTGGAACATGGCTTTTTTGACTTTCCATATATTGGGAATTTCATCATCCCAACTGACGAAGTCATATTTTTCAGAGGGGTTAAAACCACCAACCAGATGGGATTACTGTAATATTTCAATCAATGATTACCTAATGGTTTGGGTGATTTGGAGTCGGGGGATTATCACCAATCAATTGGAGGCGAGATGGTAAATCACTATCATTGATATGGGAAATCTATAGGTGAGGTTTCTTTGGGACCATCTCAATCGTCGATTTACCCATGGATAGTTCCATTAGCGGCTCAGGTGCTGGCAGTGAGCGTCACCAGGAAGCAGCGTTGGACATACGGCTGCGGCCTCAGTGGACACGTTCATGACATGCACCCTCTGGTAAACTAACATAACTGTGGAAAATTACCATGTTTAATAGGTAAAGCAACTATTTCTATGGGCCATGTTCAATAGCAAACAGTAAACGTTTACCAGAGGGTAACTAGCATGGCTATTGAATATCACCATGGTTTTCTAAAGAGAAAATCCATGTCTCACGGGTGCTATGGGCCTTCACCATAGCCATTGCTAAGCAATATATCTTAGTCCAAAAGGATGGATCATTTCACGTGACGAAAATTGCTGCGTATACATATTATACATAGCTTTTTGATCCTCTTTTCATATCTGGACATGTCCATTTCTGAGCTTTGTAGTGGTTCGTAGGTTCGTATCGCAAGTTCACAACATCGAATGTTACCATTTTAAGGCTGAAAATTCTTACTGGCCTTCCCCTTTTTTGCCCACACCTTGTCACACTCTTCGACGTGGGTCTGGCTGCTTATTGGTGTAGCAACAACCCCACCAAATTGGCTGCACTTTGAACTACCCTCTGGTGAACTAACATAGCAATGGAAAATCACCATGTTTCATGGGAAAATCCACTATCTCTATGGCCATTTTCCATTGCTATGTTAGTTCACCAGAGGGTATATCAACATGGAACATTTTTCGGCATCAATCGCTACGTGTGCGAGCCATACATCTTGATGAATCCGCTGAATCATCCGATGAATCCATGATTTCGCGGTAAGCCATACGAAAAAAACCCTGGTTGTTGAAGCCATACGAAACAATGTTTTTTTTTGAAGCCCCATTATTTGGTAATATCATGTAATATCCCCATATCCCTATATTGATGTATGTTTCACGCACTCAAGTTACATAGATATATAGTATATGCCGTAGATAATTATGTATATATATGCATATTGCAATCCGCAAAAAGGTAGACCATCAAAAATCCTACCGCAATAATGGCAAACTTTGCTAAGTTACTTTTCTATTTGTTTTCGGCCCTGTTATTTATCTATTTATCTACCTATCTATTTGTTCATATACCTAATCATCCTCAGATTCAGAACATGAGATTTTCCAACATACCATTTTTTAATATATAATATCAATCTACCTACCAATAAGTATCATATACCATAGTTTCAATATAATCATCCTACCTAATACAAACATCATGAAACTCCTGGGTGACAACAGCAGCTGCGGCAGGTGGACGAGATGGTCCTGAGGCTGGGTTCCACAAAAACCCTAGAAAAACTATAGGAAATGGGGATTTCATGGGATTGATTCATGATTTATGTTTGCAAAATTGGCGAACATAACTCCAATGTTTGGGGCTTACGATACCTATATCAAACTGGCTAACGGGGTTGTATAGCTGATTTATGTTTGCAAAATTGGTGAACATAACTCCAATGTTTGGGGTTTACGATACCTATATCAAGGGTTGTAAACCAACACACGTAACTGTGGGGGCATCAGCTTGTCAGCAGGGATGTAGTTGGATGAGAACCAGCGAACATTCAGGATGTTACAAGAAAGGAAGGGTTTTCAGGAGGCCAATTTGGAGACTTAATCCACAAAATTGAATGACCATCAAAAGCTTGCGGATGACGAAAGATTAGGATGTTCTGCCGAGAAAATCAATGCAAGATTGGTGATTGAATCACAAAAATTTGGGCTTTGGCCGGCAAAGATGTCAATCAATGGGTTTCAATTCTGGAAGGAATCTGGATGAGAGAGAGAGAGAGACTTCCTGGCCTTCTAGTAACTCCCACAAAAATAGAGAATCCCACTCTTAAATCTTAAATAGTGTAAACATACTAAAAGATGTGGAACACTTTCCATCAAAGTAGGCAATTTTTCGAACAGTTTCCCAATGGGTTTTCCACATTTTTTTGTATGGCTACCTGGGCCCCACTTTGATGCGCCATGAAGTTAGTTAACTGGTTCGCAAATGGATTATCTTTGGAATATAATTTGGGCGATTTAATTAACAAGAAATGGATAGAAATGGTGATGAATGGGGATTTCATATGATTTCATGATAAATGTTTGGTTTATAACCCAGTTACTTTCCAGGAATCGCGTTTTTCTTTCCCCATAGCCCATCTAATCCAGGGGGAATCCACCATGGCCTCTCCAGGACTCTGGCTCGCCCCGCGAACTGATGTCTCCTACCTTGTCCTCCAAATCCAAACGGTGGGGGGGCGGCCCACGGGAGCCAGTTTACCCTGGTGGCTTACAATAGGGGGTTGTAAGAAACCATCATTTACAGGGGGGTTCAACGACGATGGGAATAATAACTTGTATAATAACTTGTACGCTATATGGTTGGTGGACGATTTTTCGGGGGGTTATCCCTGTTTTTACATGGGCTTTGGGGATTCTCATAATCCATGAGCTGGGAATCCCGATCAACCGATCATATGGGATGGCAGCAGGTGGCTTTGCAATCGTCCGGTGACGGATTTGAAGCAGTTTCCTGCGTAGCAGCTGATGCGAAAAACCGCTACAAGATGTTGGCAGAAGATGGCAGAAGCGTCTCGAAAGCGCATCCGTGCGAACCAGGGCCACGCGTTGAAAGAGGCTCAGGGGCTGTTCAGATTGGCAAGAGCTCGACTGACAAGGAAGAAAGTTGGCACAGACTTGCCGTCATTTACCATTGTGGTGCGCGTTTGCCAGCTTGGTGGAGGAACTTCCAGATTCTAAAATTTGACACCTTCCGGCTGATAGTATTGGGGAAGGGGTAGGGCCCACGAATGCACATGCCTTCATGTCGTATCACATATGGTCACCGACAGAATTATGGAAAAAAAAACGTTCAACTTAGACAGGCGGCGCCTGCGTCCGATTTTTCCATAATTAGGTTTTTCCCCATAAGGGTTCAAAATATCCCGGAAGTGATCCGAACCTTTTTTTTTTCCATAATTCTTGGAGGTGGCCATTATTTCCATAATTGATTTTTCCTGTAAAATCAGGGGGCTAGGGCAGATTGACCGGTTTTTCCATAATTATTTTTTTCCATAATTATTTTTTCCATAATTAATGTTTGGGGCTCCACCTGTTGGACATGTCATGGATCCACAATTCAAACCCCTTTTTTTTGGGGGTTATGGAAATATGTATGCAAGTGCAAGTATGTAGTATCAACCCAATTGGTGGCTTGGCAAAAGGATACATCCCACATATTTTCAATATTCCCCCTTAAAATGCATTCAAATTGCGAACATCACATGATATTATGTATATCAATGGCAGGCTTTAGGGGCATATACCAGATCTTTAGACACATATTTTCTATAATTCAATATTCCCCCTTAAAATGCATTCAAATTGCGAACATCACATGATATTATGTATATCAATGGAAGACTTAGGGGCATATACCAGATCTTTAGACACATATTTTCTATAATTCAATATTCCCCCTTAAAATGCATTCAAATTGCGAACATCACATGATATTATGTATATCAATGGAAGACTTAGGGGCATATACCAGATCTTTAGACACATATTTTCTATAATTCAATATTCCCCCTTAAAATGCATTCAAATTGCGAATCGATGGACATACAGTCACCGACAGAATTATGGAAAAAAAATAATTATGGAAAAAATAATTATGGAAAAAAAAAGGTTCGTAACTTTTCTATCATAGACAGGCGGCGCCTGTAAATTGAAACGTTTTTTTTTCCATAATTCTGTCGGGTGCTGTATATAAATACGCATAGACAGAAAATACATTCACATTCATGAATGTCTACTTAGATGGGCCGTGGGGTTAGCTAAATGGTTAGTAGCAGGGTTGTGAACACAACGAAAATAAATAAATATAAATATAATATATAATTCTAATCCACTTACGAGCTAGTCAACTAACAAACCCATGCCCATCTAAGGATTTAGAGTTACCAAACCAATGTTGGTGAGCATGAACTAGCCTGACATCTAGAAGCGAGCACATTGGAGTGGAGGACGAGATCACAACAATTAAGAATTCACCAGTTGGAGTGGGCTTAAAAACATCTTGCTGCTTTTTGGAAAATCGTGAAATGTTAATTCCAATGGATCCCCACCCTTTTTCCCGTGGTCCCATGATAGATGCCACTTTTGGGGCAAAAAATGCAACAGACTGGGCGCCCCAGGTGCCCTATCATATTCGGGATGGTTTTATACCACCCATCTATGGTGACTTTAGCATCTTTACTATGGGGGTTCCCACATAAGCCCATACCTCATTGCTAAGAACTGCTTTTTCTGCTTTTTTTTTAAATCAGCAGTGATAAACGCTAGTTCAAACCCTGCTTTAGCGAGTTTCTGGGTTATTTTGTTGGCCATCAATTGGAGGAAAATCATGTCCAGCCAACAAAATACTACCTGTTTGGGCGGGTATCTTAGATTAGATTGGCCATAATGGGGGAAGTACTGCAAGTGGTTTTGGAGCATTGTTGGTACTCCAGCTGTATCTTGAAAATCATGATATATGTTCATGCGTGTGTGTATATATATATATATGCATGCTACATATAGGATTGGGGATACATGTACTATACACATATGTATATTTATTATTATATATATATTTAGACATCATACATCCATATATCATCATATATCCACAATACAATTCGTATTTGTTCACATGTATATACAGCAATTGCAGCTTTATATAAATCTGGATAAACTATAGTGACCTCACAGCGCGACGTGACTGGAATGATGGTTTGTAGTTATGGAACTATCCCCAAATGACCTATATAACAATATTCAGGTTAGTGTGCTGTTGCTAAGTTTATCCAGAAATGATATATACATGATAATACTAAATTATAACAAACCATGTGCCATGGATTTATTTATATCTAGAGATTATTAATACGTATCATTTGGTTTAATTAATATACATATTATCAATACTTATTTATCCATAAATAAATAATTATATGTATATATATATATATCCCATTGGATTATTCCCATTCTCCCAGTTCTATCTCTATGTTTGGTTCGTTGACGCCCATTCACACCCTATGAATCCTCCGTTCCAGGCCATCACAGAGGAGCATCTGGGGCGACCGCAGCTCTCTGTGAGCGCGGAGGAGTGGCCGCTGGATCTAACCAACAAAGGTTGGGATTTAAGCAACAAAAATAGGATTTAGCATTTAGCAAATCAAATTGCGATTTACCAAATTTAAACCAAGTAAAATGTGGATTTGGCCCTAAAGAATAAGGATCTAACCAGCAAAAACGATGGTGTTGCATTCACAAATGGGGGTTGAATATAGTTTGAACCAAGCAGAATGCTGATTAAATCATGAATGAACAAGTCAAAGCAGTGGATATATTCACATATATATATATATATCTATCTATCTATCTGTGTGTGTTATATATATATATACACACACCTCTGTGAATCATAAATATGGGGAGTTGTGACCACCACACTCGTCATCGACTAGCATCTGAAAGCCTTTCAGCGATGATTAGGGATGATTGCGACGTTGAGCTGTTCAGGTCCACTGTCCCTGGTCCTTCGGATGTTTGGACTCGGCTGTGGCACATGCAGTTCCCAATGGAAACTACAATGCTATCCTGGGATCATGTGGGAACTTGGGGAGCCATGCTGGATGATTAACCTCTGCTAAGGCTACTTTGGAAAGTCACAATTTTTGACTGTTAAACTTAGTAAATCATCTACACATGGAGTAGTTTCCACAGCAGACTCCTAGTTATTATCAGAGGGTCCCCTAATTTGATGCTCATCATTTTGCGTCATCTCCACACTGCAAACATGCCGAAGGAGAGCACGGCGCCATTCCCCATGCCTGGAGGATGGTCCTGAGACACACCTAGCAGCTTTCAGCTGTTGAGAATTCTATCGGACAGCTGGCTTCAATTTCCAAGGGACCGCGTGTGATCGTTGTGGACTTCAAAATCCCTGAATCTCTTGACTTTAACATCGAAGATAGTTCAGATAGTTGTTGCTGATGGATGTTCATCCCAAAAAACGATGGTAGGAAGCTTTGGCGTTGAAGATGGTGGTCGCTAAAGCCAGCTTCTAGCTTTAGCTATGGCTCAAAATCAGTGACACCGCCAGTTTTTAGATCGGAAAATATGAAAATTGGTAAAATTGACCGGTTTCTGCAAATTGATTGGTTCCATACCCATTTTTGAGCCATGGCCATGGCTTTTAACGCTATTGCTCAGCCTGTCTTGGCGATTGCCATCAGGTCGTGCCTTGACAGTGAAGCCTGTTGTTTTTGACAGTGGGCTTGGCGAGCTTAACATTGACAGCATATCGAATAGCTTTGAGATTAAACTCGAATATCCACATGGGTGTGTCTAGAAACGGGGCATACCGGTATACCCCAATAAACGCAATTTCAATGGGGATAATCATGAATATCCAGTGGATTTCAGGGTGCCTAGTTCTAGGCCCCAGAAATTCCTGGAAATTAGTACCTGACAGGATTATCCAAGACATAACACTGGTGGCTTGCTCGTGAGGATCCGAACTTTAGGTGGATCACGGCGGATCACTTAGCCGCTACGCCAGAAGTTTCAACGTCAAACTTTGCCCGGCACATGCTGAAAGCTGCAAAAGACGCCTTTGATTGCCTGAGACAGACACATTGACCAACTGGTGATTGCTAATCTTGGAGTCAGTGGAGCATGTTGATTGGTTGGGTTTCGCCCCTCACATTTTTGGATTGTACCTGGTAACCCTCACATTTTCAGAAACAGATCATTTTTTCCAATCTGTTTAGATGTACCAGGTAATACCTCATGTGGTTGATGCTAAGTATCCGTAGCTTTTTGATGTGTGGCCATGCTTAAATCATTGGGTTTCAAGCCTCAGTGCCCTCAGCCTCAAGCTTAGGCTTGATCATGCTGCGACGTCACAAAAGAACGATGATTTCTGGAGGAAAGTATCCCACGATGGCCGGAAAATTTGGATTCCTACTTCATGATTATAGATTATCCATTATCCAGGAATCACTGGCGCCAAACATGAGCATGTACTTATCGACATTTCGATTGCTACAGGAGATGTTTATTATATACAGTTGGTAGGTGCACGGTGCACGCAGATGTACATACAGATTCTTTTGGACTGCAGATTGCTGGCACGGAACTTCAGAAATCCCCCCGATGGGAAACGTCATTGCCTCGGCTGGCCTGGATGAAGTGTTGTTTCGTTTCAGGATGCTGAGCCAGTAGCCTCTGGTAAACGTTTACATAACTATAGAAATTCACCATTCTTACATATTTTTACTAGGTAAATCAACTACAAGTGGCCATTTTCAATAGCAAGCAGTTAGTTTACCAGAGGGTAGGTGGCTTGTCCGAGGTCGCCGGTTGCTGGCCCCATAGTGAAACGCGCGAGGAATGTGACGCTGACGAAGGCACTGCATTGCTGCATTTTGTAGCAATGATTTCCCACAGGGTAATGGTGATTTATGATTAAGTATGATTAAGTATGATTTACCGGATAGCTTCTTTACCAGTTTCTATACTTAATACATCTCATTGTAAATGGTGTTTTTTTCCATTGCTCTGTTAGTTTACCAGAGGGTGATGGGATTAACATGGTGATTAAGCCAGCAGAATAGGGATTTGACATGGGTTCATGTGGGAAACCCAATAATAAACCTACCACTTCGGGATGTTTTTTAATTAAAACCACGCATTTATGGTGGTTTTGGGGGTGGTTTATCATTGGGTTTACCACATTATAGTAATTTAATATTGAATTAGTCATTTCTTGGAGGATTTTAATGAGCAACAAATCCGGATAGAAGTGGGTATTTTTTTGAATATAATTGAATTGATAGAAAACATTATGTTTGATGATTAGGGATTATACTCATCAGTTTTTCTGGCTAGGATTGGGGAATGTCACAATCCATTAGGGAATCCGTATCAACCAACCAGAAATGGATTGGGAAGTTTTCTTTCCCAGAAAATTCCAGCGCCTCTCACTGTAGTTTTGGCTTAATTGTAGATTATCACTACTATCGTTGCAGAAATGAGCAGTTTGACTTTCAGGGCATTGTAATCGCCCATGATCATCCCATTTAACAACCAGTGTTGGTGGTTAAATCCCATTATCTTTCAGGGTATTGTTTCTCTTGGGTGATGGTGTGTGATGAGACCCTTGCAACGCAGAATTGCATGCGTGTGTTATACTTTCACCAGCTGTAATTGCGAAAAACAGGATTAACTCCTGAGAAAACCCGCAATTCTGATGCGTCCTCATTAAATCTCTATAGGAAAAAAACCTGATGTATCCTCATCTTACTGGTGCTTAGCAGGGAATGAGGGAATGATCCATAATCACTAGTAATAATCATCCCATTCCCCCACTCCCATCCATTCCCTACGTTTAGCACCAGTAAGTCATTATATCCCTGAAAAAAAAAACTCCCATTTTGGTGGCTGTCATCCGCCCCATGTGTTGCTGCACATCGTCATCCCTCCATCGATGTCATCGCAGGTGCTACCAATAAAGTGGAGCTGGCTGCATCACTGTATCCTCGCTCTAATGGGAGAAATTTGGGAAAAATGGGGCAGCAATTGTATCTAATGAGGACTAAAAATGGGGGGAGCTTGATGGAACTTGTGGTGATTTACATTGATTTATCTGATTCAACGGTTGACGGTTGGGATTTACATATATAATGGGATGTTAATGGGGATATCGGATTCCAGGATGCATTTCGGCAACTTGATTTGATATTAGGGTGTGTACAAATTGCTATTTCAAGGGGGTCAAATGATGGTACAATGATACACCACTGGATTTGCGGGTACTCTATGTACAGTCAAACTAATTTCAGTTCGAGCGGTTACATGATAGTTTGTCCTCAAACAAATTCGCTGCTGACAGCGGGTTGATCACAGCCGTCTCAGTGATGGCTTTGCCCAAGGGCAACGCATCTGGGTCACTGGCCTTTCAACTGAAATTTGAACCCACCAAAGTGTTTGTTTGTGGCTACCGAAAACCACAGAGATTGTGTGGGTGCTGCATCTGGACCCTGCACAGAAATCCGAGATCTGGCAGACATGAAGGGTGTGCCGAGAGGTCATGATGTGTTTTGGATTCTTTGTAGTGCAATGGTGACAAAAGCACAGAAGCTTCGAACAGCCGGAGAGTGATGACAAGTTCACTGGCCCAGGAGGACATAGCATTGGTGCACAGGTTGGCTTGGGAAGCCTGTCGACATTCTTCAGCTTCAATCCAAGGACTCAGCCCAAGCTTCGTTTTGACATTGCGACCCTCGATTCTTCTGCCCGAAAATCACCGACGATTTCGGCCAGAGCGAGACAGAGAAGTCCCAAAATTGAAATTGAACCACATCAATCATATCAGTTTTCGGATGTGAATTGGACCATGGGTGATCATCCTGTCCAAGAATGATTGGTTTTTTTGGCCCACCTGACTGTTCTCGATATTGTAGGTGATGGTTTAGAATATTGTTAGTTGATTTCAATGCTGAAAATCCTAGAGGATCAGTTTGGGAACACTTTTTTTGCGGAAAGTTCAGCCAGAATGCAGGGTCAAGCAAGCCCCTGTTGTTTTGGCCTATGAATATGGAGTCTCAGGGGACTTTATGACGTTTCTTCCATGTTTTCTGGTCACCTCAAATTTTGCAAGAACGTCACCAAACATCAAAATTTCAGAATGAGGGAGAGGGAGGAAAAAAAGGTGCGAGAGGTAGTATCACTGTGTATCACTTTCCGGGTGGCTTTCTCAAAGAATAGGGTTTTCCTTCACAGATCCAGTCTTCAAGCAGCGTACTCCGTTCCCTGTGAAATTGCCATGTCGGAGTCATGGCACGTAGCAGGAAATCGGAGAACGGCGTTTCTCTTCGAACTGATTAAACTTCTCCGAAGTAGTAACATGATGTAACATGTTCTTCCTGCTTTGAAAACTGGTTTCCTTGTTTTTCTCATGTTTAATGTGTATGTTTGCTGTGTTTCACCTATGCTTTCGTTTCTTTGACAGATGTTGTCGTTGTTTTCACGTTTTCCACATGAAGTATGTCCCACAAATGCTTCGTCAAATCTATGGTAGCATATGTGCA